AGGAATAAAATAGGTCAATACATGTGATAAAATGACAAATGAAATAATTATCATTGATTTTTCTACATTTTTTAAAAGGGGTCTGGGCCTCTACAATTGGGAAAAATCATCGACATTTGTGCCAACTTGGGAATTATTGCTTACAAAATACCAAATTCGACACAGTTCTACATTGAATTTTATAACTTTCTTATTTTTATAATCTTTAAAAGTTGTCAATGATTGTCTTTATATTTTTCATCATGGTTTTATTTTGGGAAAAAAGCAACTTAAATTGGGAAAAACTTGGTAATTTTTGACAGGGGAAAGGGCCGATATTCGGACCTAATTTGGTGTAGAAAAATCACTGTTATATAATGAGGGCGAGTTTCGTCTTCACAGTCTCCCTTGCTATCATAACTGTTTATAACAGGTTAATTTACCACGTTCTCAGATTTTTTTCTCGCTGACAGTTCAAACACTTAAGGTTGAATATTCAACCTCATACAGACAAATTCAGTAATTTGGTCATCCATAATGTAGAAACATAGGTAATCAAAGATTACGAAGCTCGCCTCAACAAATGTTATCTTTAAGTAAGGCAAATTTCACATCATATTCTTTTTTTTTAGTTAGTGTACATCCCAAAATCAATATCCATGCAAGTTTGGTTTAAATACGACTTATAGTAGGGCTGTCACAGTTACCCGAAATAACCGAGAACCGCAGTCCAAGTTGTTCGGTTCGGTTCCATTTTTCCGGATTTCGGTTCGGGTCTGGTTTATATATTAGAGTCTATTCAATACAAAAAATGGCGTCAAAATCAAAGGAATGATGACGATAACAGTGATAAATAAACAACACAACTGAAATCTACTTCATTCCATGACAAAACACTTGTCACGGAAGTACATGTATTGGATAATTATCAAAACGAGCAGGAATTGTCAGGTTGTGTCTAATACTAGGCCAAGTAGTTCTACACACCGATGTCTAGACGTTCGCATGGTTAAGACTTGTTTTCAATGTAAATTTAATGTAACAAATAAAGATTTTTCAAGTTAAATTCATGAAATTAAGGTTTAAAATAGATGTATATAATCGAACCCAAAAACCCGAAACTGAACCGAAAATTTACAGAACCCACCCGACCCGAAAATTTTTGGAACCGTGACAGCCCTAACTTATAGTTACTTGGAAATAGACCTGTTCAAAAAACGTTTATCCTGCTTACTAATCAAGAAAATTTTGGTCAGTTCCAACATCCAAAGTAAGTCTGGAAGTTTTCATCCTTAGATGCACCATCTATGCAAGTTTAATCACAACAGGCAATAATGTTATATAGCTACTCCAAAAAAAATTATCCTTGTTACTCATCTGGAAAATGTAGGTCAGATTCAGAATCCAAAGCAAGTCTGGAAGTGACCATCCCTAGCTACATCATCCATACTAATTTGGTTAAAATATGGCTAAAATTCACTCATGTGGAAAATCTAGGTTGAATCCAGCATCCGAATCAGGTTGGTTAGGGTACATCCCAAGATACATCATCCATGCAAGTTTGGTCAAGGTAGGGCTTATAGTTACTTGGGAATGAACCTGCTCCAAAAACTTTAACCTGGTCATTCATCTGGAATATCTAGCTCTAAAACTTAGACTTGGTGATTGGTGTTTGTGTCCATTTTGTCAGAAAGATAATAAAATCATAATATTTAAAAACGGAACAAGAGGAATTAATAAAATACAAGGGGATAGGAAATTACGTGTACAGAAAAATAAACTCTGAAGATCTTGATAATCAGGTGATTGACTCTCAATATTGTCACGCTTCACGATATACAGATACATGTATATTCACCGATCAACGTCCGTGTTTGTTTAGCACAATCTGCTTTCTCTCGAGGTATATGCCAGTCGAAGTATAAACACAATTAACTACTCAGGTCATAAAAAATTAAGTGTCAATACTGAAATGCAATAATAATTTAATCATGGCAGTCACCGATTTTAACCATGGTGCAGCTCTTTTAACCATGGCGGGCCACCATGGTAAAACCCCTTGTGGAGAACCCTGCTGTCTGTAGGTGCAGCTTTACTTTGCTAGTGGACCAAACACCATTATCGAGCCTGCATACCTTCACATAAATATAAACCAAGCCCCAAGTACCTGTGGGTGCTTCCTACGAATGTCAGACACCTCGGCCCATTGACATCTCGGCCCAATGACACCTTGGCCTTGACTGGTTGGCCCAAAATTTAAGACACCTCGGTCCATACATAAGACATCTCAGCCCAAGCAAACTTTTATTAGAAAGTATTAGATATTTCCAATCTGCGATGTCAATAAAATTTTGACCGAAAAAAGTAAACAATCAAGATTATTTTTAGTACTGAAAAGACCTTCCACAAGCTACATGATTGACATTGCTTATATGATTTATTTGTATTGCAGATTTTTATTCCAAACTTGTTTCTCAGTATGTATATTATATGATTAAAATTGGCGTGAAGAATAACAAATTATTTTTTTTCGATCTCAATGTATTCTTTTATAGATAATTTTCTGAATTTGCATAGTGAATATTTTTTTCTGATGAGAAAAAGGAACTAAAACTACTTAGGGTGAATACAATTTTGGAGAATGGAAAACTGGAGATCATCATCCGTTGCCTAAGAACCTGAATTTTAATACACACAACCAGAAGAGCTAGACTGTTTAACTTGGTTAGAATATCATATGAAATTTAGTGAGTGATACCCCGGCAGCTCAGGACTGTCTAGTTACAAGAATATTTAATGAATTAGTCCTTTACAGGCCAAAACTGGAAAATTTCTTCATTTGGTTACAGACCTGTTTACCCAAATTGTTGTCTCTCAGTATTTTTCATTAGATTTGTCAGTGAGATTTGGCATTTGCCCGTAAGATTTCACTTTTCATCGACTGTACATATATTAATAGAAAACAACCACATTTCTGATTACCAGAACATGGTTTAACAACAAAGCAAAACGTCATACACTGCTCTCTTTTGAGTGATTTCTGTCATCTTTTAAACCACCGCGTTTTGGCAACTTAAATGTTTCAAAATTTTCTCTTCTTTAGCGATTAAAAAGCGTCAAACTGAGACAGATAACGAAAACTAATTGCTAAAATCCATATGAACGGATTTCCGTATTTTCGTTATAGCAAAACGTAAGACGTATTTTGGACTGAAAATCCGTACAAAATACGGTGAAATCGTAAGAGTAAACAGGTCTGTGGTTAAAACTCTGAATATTAATGAAAGTAAACTTGTAACATTTACAACTGGATTTATTAGTGTAATACATATATATCCCATACCCAGACAACAAATAACATTTTTAGTCTTTTTGCATTATATTTATTTATGAATTTGTTTGTTTTGTTTTTAAAAAAGAATGTAAAGTATGACCTGGCCCTTTTTAAATAATGTTTCAAAATTTTACTCCTAAAAAATATTTCATTTCATTAAGCGATAATGTATGGTTTTTTCCCTATTTCAAGGACCCCCCCCCTCTTTCCCGCCACCAATTTTATTGGATTTTAGTTAACATGCAGGTTTTATTATCTGTTGCATGGAATAAACATGTTAAAGCGTATAAGTGTTTAGGTTGAACGTGTCAATAAATAAAACATGAAATGTTTAAAAACTAAAACACGCAGTGTTTATTAAGTAAACTCTTTGTGTTTATTCAGTGTTTAATCTTTAAACATTTTGTGTTTTTGAAGTGTTTAGTATTTAAACAGAAAGAGAAAGAAGTATTTAAATATTAAACCTAGGGGTGAAACGATACACCTCCTTCACGGTTCGATACGTATTGTATAATTTTGTCTTGGTTCGGTTATTTTCGATACGATACATTTTGATAAAAGGAAACAAATTCAACATTGTTTTATGCTTTCTTTTTCTAAATCTAGTCACATATTTTACGAATTTTATTTGCAAATTGACTAGAAGAAATTAATTAAAATTATTTAACTGTCAAAAATTATTTTACAAGCTATCAGTCATCAAAAATTTACGTTTTCTATACTTATTTATACAGAGTATCGTGTTTTACCTTATGCCAAACCCGACTGAATAACGATCCCGACGGAAAACCGAAAATTAAAGATTTTGCACCGTGTATCAAACCGAGAAAAAATACCGCGGTGAATCTATACCGCGGTGAACCGTTTCACTCCTAATTAAACCTCATGTGTTTAGAATTTAAACATTCTAATGTGTTTATTTCTTAAACACTTCACGAGGTGTTTAAATTTTAAACGTGTTGAAGTGTTTTTTATCTGTGGCAATTTGGTGTCTATTTTTAAAACACTTATTTTTTCAGTGTACTTAAACTATTATTTTATACGATTATTTATACTGACATAAGTATAAACAATAAAATGTCCTTCCTTTTTTTTTTTTTTTTTTAATGCAAGATTAACGACCGCAACCATATAGCAGAAATTCTCGCATTTACAAAAAAGTTACCGTTTAAATGAAGTCCATATATATCTTTTCACGAATTATCAACCCATCTCAGATGTTTCAGATCGTCAGAGAAGTAATGCAAAATGAAACGATAAAATTCCGGCAATTCTTATAGAAAGTCAAGATCACAAGAATGTTGATATATATATCATAGTTTCAATAAGTGTATATATTGGGGATTTTCCACAAGAGATAGATCTACGTTAGTTAACGTGCTGATCTGATTTGCTTAGGGAAGTGAACCAATTTTCTTTTATAGATCCCCCCCCCCCCTTGACTTTTATTTTAAAAAATCATTTAACTGTCAAAAAGAATAATTACATCGATAATAATAACAATTCAGACAATGGATTAATTTTTTCCATCATAAAATTTCGCTTGGGCCGAGGTGTCTTTTATATGGGCCGACGTGTCAATAATCTTGGGCCGACCTGTCAGGGCCGAGGTGTCAGACGTCTCGGGCCGAGGTGTCGTTGGGCCGAGATGTCTGTCTAACCTTCCTACGCCCCAACTGTTCATTACCTTGTTAGCCTTTTCTAAAATAGCAAAAAAAGCCTGGGTATTTTCATTAAAACTCGGAATTTTTTCGTTCCCATCAGATTTTTTACGTTTGTATGGTGCATCAGGATTATCGTTACTGGAAAATGGATTCTTTCTCTTCGAGCTGCTGTTAAGAAAAACATTCGTACTGTCGTGTAAGATTCCAGATGTATTTGACTTTTCCTCAGAGAAAGAACGGCTCTGTGAAAGTCTTTTCCGTTTTCTATGAATTTTCATTACATCTGAAGGTCTTTTCCATTTTGGCGAACTCTCAGACATTATAAACAATCCACTGTCAGTAATCAAACGATGAAATTCGCGCGTAATTTGCACAGGAAGTAAATAACTGACGACTAAAATCAAAACCAACGCGGTGTATTTTATTAGTGTGTTAGGAGTACACAGATCTTTGCACTTTGTTGTCATAAAATTTGAACTTTGGATGTTGCAATATATTTTGTACTTAGGTGAGATAAAACTGACGTGTCAGCCGTAGGAAGTGCCAGGCATTATACAGGTACATTAGTCTGCAAAAACCACCTGAAAAAGTTGTCTTCTGACAGAGTACATGATGGACGCTTCTACTTTCGTTTTAAGTGGAGATTTCGGATATGTCATACTTGTTATGATATTCTCTATTTTCATGATATTTTGGATGGGATTCCAAGTTGGAGCAGCAAGAAAGAAGTATGAAGTCCCTGTAAGTCAATACTAATCTCAGCGAGATTCGTAGGGACTAAAAATTTTGGTCGGGAAACCAGACCAAAATTTTTAGTCCCTACGAATCTCGCTGAGATTAAGTCAATGCCATTTCCATTTACAACTGGATCATAGTTGCAAATAATAATGCCATTTCCATGCTTCGTTTTAATATGATTTTTTTTTGTTTCTTAAATAATTTTGTGCATTGAAAATACAACAAAATTTTATATAAAAAGTATTTTTCAGATGATTATATATTTATTAACTTGTAAAGTAGTTGTAGGTCACGTATTTATTGCAATGATGCATGGTAATTTTAAAACAAAAGATTATATTATCCACATTTAATTTCTTTTTAGTACCCAACAATGTATAGCAATGATGACCGATTTAACTGTGTCCAAAGAGCTCACCAAAACACGTAAGTATTGTGTTTAGTGTATGAATTGAGTTCGTATGTAAAAACAGCTTTTTTTACAACCCATTTCTGTGTTGCCTTCTTGCAGGCTTGAGGGATACCCAATGTATTTACTGTTGCAAGTTCTGAGTGGCCTTTATTGTCCAGTAAGTATTATAAATACCCAGGCATGAGAATACACCAAAATATTGTGAGTACAAACATTTGCTTGATTTGTGAATACAATTTTACAGATGATATTTGCATCCTTGATTTTCAGAAACTTGCAGCATTGTCTGGCGTTATTTGGTGTGTTGGTAGAATTTTTTATGCAAAGGGATATTACACTGGAGGTAGGAATCCACTGTACGAGTGGTGATCAAAAAGTTCGTGAACTATCTCTATATTTACAAAACCGCAATTCAGATCAGAATGAAACTTGGCAAACATTTAGTCATAAACATGTTTTATAAATAGCAGATGTTAATTAATGTTTTGCTCCTTTTTTATGACGTCACAATGAGAAAATGACGTCGATATATAGATGACTTGTGACAAAAAATGGTTGACTCAGTTGTACTAGAGCAAAGAACAGCTGTAAAGTTTAACGTATATCTTGGAAATACCTTTGCAGTAGCATATAATAATTTGTATAATGTTAATGAAGACAATGGACTTGCTAGAAGATCAATCATTAATTGGATTGATTGTTTTAGTGGAGGAAGGGAGATGGTTAAAAATGACGTTCGTTCTGGTGCTCAGTGAAATAAGCTGGGAAAGAGTAGTGTCCTTAGTTGAGCAATTTGTTATGAAAGATCGCCAAGTTACAGTAAGAAAAATGGTTGATATATCCTAACAAAAAAATAATTATAGAATCCCTAAAATACCATTTACCTGGTACTTTAGACTTTAAACATAAATGATAAGAAGAAGGCACCCATACTTTATCCACATTGGATAAACTATGCATCCAAGACAGAGGAGTTCGGTTGTGATGGTCACCATGCTCATTCTGGGAAAGGATTTCCTTATCCACACATCTTTTTACCAAGCTTTGGCCATTTGTGACAAAATTGGCTATTCTTGTTATAAAAAATATTGTGACATTGAAAGAAATGTAAGACTCGGAAAAATCTGTTAGCTTCTGTGAACAGTAGGCTATGGAGCATGTCATGTGACCGCCTGGATCACGTGATTCGTGCATGGGCAGAATGGTTGCAGATGTACATTAAAACCGGAAAGGACCATTTTAAACAATAATTAACACTGAAGCCTAATTTAATTTCCTTTATGGAAGTTTTTCAATTAGCTCGCGAACTTTTCGATCACCCCTCGTATAACTATAATTAAAACTAAAAAAAATGAAACCCATTGATTTAAGGAGAATTGAAGAAAATTATTCTATACACCAAGATCGTGAATGCTATAAACTAAAGTTTGATTATTTATTTATGCATGACCAACATTGAAATTATAATATTTAATTCAATGATTTATGTAAATGTTATTAATGGGTCATCCATATCATGGCATTGCTCCATGTTTGATATCATGATCCAGTTGTAAACATTCTATGTGCAGTTCTAAATACAATGTATCCTATAAAATACTGAGCACACTATTTTGCAGAAATTTGTTAGTAATACATGTACATACATTCAATCAATAATTTCTAGTGTAAAGACCAGCAATACATGTACATACCTTCAATCACTAATTTTTAGTGTAAAGATCAAACTCAACATTTGCATACATATGATGTGTCCACTTTCAACTCCTGGTTTGATGTTTTATTTCAGACCCCAACAAAAGACTGCATGGTTCCTTTGCCTATGTCGGATTACTCATCATGTTGGTGCTTTCTATCATTTTTGCTCTTAATCTCTTGAAGATAACCAATTTGTAATTCCAGGATAGGATTTAATCAGGCATAGACTCTTAGTACAATCAGTCATCATTATTTCTTACTGCATGTACCATCTATTCCTCATGTAATATTTGTGTATACATGTGTACCAATCTGTAATACAATGTAGTGAATGTACATGTATATAACCTGTATATATGTTAAATTATGCTAATTTTTGTTCATTAAAAATAACCAGATGTTTAGAGTATTGATTTTGAACAATTGTTTTACCTTGTATTTCTTAAATTTGAATAAATTTGGTCTTAATATCTTCATCAAATGATATCTGATAATTCCTGAGAAATGTTTCTAGATTGCATCAAACTTTGTACTTGGATTATGGTTGTTGAAAACTAGAGGTGTAACAATACAGCGATACATCGATCGTATTGATAGCAAGGTCTCGCAATACGCATATCGTATCGCCATGTATGTATCGTGATACAGTTCAAGTTAATTTTTATTGTCTTATTTGAAAACTCAAGATGCAAACTAACAATTTTAATATAATTACAAAATGATTGAAAACAATGTAGCAATGAAAAAATGCAATGCTAAGACTATAAGTCCACCTACAAATAACTTTGGTTATTGGTATCAAGATATTCCTTTCATATTTTTTTTTATAATTGTGGAGGTTATCAAACAAGAATATGTAAAGATATCAGTTAATTTAATTGTTGACAGCTGTATCATGATACATGTTGTATCGCATGACTGTATCGTGATATGTATCGTATCGTGAGGTAGCTTGCGATACACAGTCCTATTGAAAACAGGGTATTAATTTTGTCAGAAAGAAGATATTTACAGTTATAAAGACTGAAGATCAGTATCATATCAGGCACGTAGCATGGGGGGGATTTTTTCCTGTATAAACATAACTTTTTACTATTGAAAATGTTCGTTGAAAGGCAGTATAGTCAAATAAGGGTAATTTAGTAGTGTATGAATGAAATTGGTACTGAAAGAAGTTGGAAAACATACTGTCTGATTAGAATTAAACACGCGACAATCAAAATAAGGAGCTAGTGAACGTTTGGTTTTAATCAAACTGGAAAACCTAATGCACAATATTTTGTCCTGTTATATGTCAATCTTCACATATATTTAAGATAATGTAAAAGATGAAGATATAGTCCGAAATATCTGACGTTTTCCAGGCTTTTTTTTTCTTCACGATTTTGATAATTTACGTGCCAGGAAAACACGGACCCCTGAAAACATTTCCCTGATGGAATTGCAAGTATGTCATGTCCTTGTCTTAATATAGTTTTCCACGAGCTTTGGTTTGGGACAAAAATGACTTTGATCAGGTTTGCAGGTGCATCTGATTAGAGCAGGAGATGATGGCCTTTTTGTGATTATATAATTTGTATAGGTCATGGTATGATATTGAAGAAGGGAGACGATTGTAGAATGGAACCTTAGCTATTCCAGAGAAGTGTTTTGATTCAGATGACACGATCCTTAGCAATATATAATTTTGTGGAAGTATCCCAAAAATTGAGGTACATTACCAGGCATTTGTGCAAAATTCCAGAGGAGCACAAAATCCTATTGGAAATCACTTAAATTGCTGATATAATACACATCGGTTCATACATTTTGGACATTTTGAAAACAGTTTAGAAATCAGAAGATTATAATCAATAGTTTTGATACATTAAGAAGAGAGTCTCAGATTTAAAAAAAAAAAAAGAAGAAGAAAAAAAGAACTTAACTTCAGACCTTAAATGCCTTATTATTAATTCACAGGAAGAGGGTGGGTGGGTGAGGGGTTCAAAAGCAGTTTATTTTACTATTTAAAATAATTTATTATAGACACAGAAGTTTATAGGAGTTTCTCATCTAGCTTCTCTCATTCCTCCAAGCTTGATCCGCTCTTTTGCTATCAGATTTTGTCTGTTGTGTAAACTTTGGAACTTTAACATTTTTTTTCTATCGTTGTACCAATATCGAGAAAAGCTTAGCATCTATTGTCCACAGGTAAAGAGCAACATGTTATTTAATTTCTCCTACCCTCTCGGGAGGCTGGAGGGGCATGGGATGATGTCAAACCTCTAAAATACCTCTTTTTTAAAAAAGAAATCCAGCAGACAATTTATAGAACATGTTGAAGGAGATAGGAACCCCCCACAAAAATAGGGAAATTTGTGTTCCCAAGCTTGAGTCCATGTCCCAGTGTGGGAGTGATCGTGTATGAAAATTGCCGTTTATATTTTAGAAGAAAAAGATTTTACTTCCAGACATTGAGCAGGCGTTTGTATTTTCATCTAAAAGTAGCTATTTACCATTTCACACCTTCAACTATGGGTCATCATTTTAGGACACCAAAGTTAAGACTTCATTTTAAAATTTTAGCTTTTCTCACATAAGTGTGTTAGCAAATCATTTTTTTTTCAAACTCATATCTGTCTCAAAATTGCAGGATTTTCTTAGAAATTTGGTTTATTTTTCAGCTCAGTTGAAAAAAAAATTATATTCACACGGTTTTAAGAAAATCTCATACCTGGGAGAAAACTAAAAATTAGTCTGGGTTTGAAAAATCTTTGAGAGTTGGTAAACATTTGTGTGAGGAAAACTCCCAACTGTCTGAGAACTGTATCAGGTATTAGAAAATAGATTGTTTATGGACTTAAAACGAAATTTATATAACGTGTGTAGTTTTAAAATGCATTTAATCAAAGTAAAAAAAAAATCTTCATATCTAAACGTGAACAAACTTTTTCCCCCTTTAATTATAAGATTCATAAAAAATTCTAGTAAAATTAATTTATATCCTTTGGGTTAAGGTTCAGGCCTCAGTAATATATATATGTGAATGTCCAGGGATAAAAGATACATGTATCCCTTTTCATGTGTCAGCGAATTTGAGGAATATTATATTTTCGTCCCTGGTTTTCTGCTGATCTGTATGTCTGTCAGTCATGCATGCAGTGAACATTTTGCAATGAGTAACCATCTCTGGTAAGGAATAAAGAAATTGTATTTTGAGGTATTTTAGCATTTATAAAGGTGTGAATGATAAAATTTGTTTTTGATTATTTTACCTTGAGGTCCACCAACTCGCTACAGGATACCATGTAATAACTAGATTTAAATATTTTTAAAAATAGGGCAAACGTAGCAATTATCCGTCTTTTCCATTTGTATATTAATATATTTTTTTATTTGTATTGTGTAATTTTCCATTTGTATTGTATGATTTTTATTTTTATTCTATATTTTTTCATTGTATTTTAGAAATTTCCATTTGAATTGTATGATTTTCCATTTGTATAATTTTTCATTTAAATTCTACAATTAAATTTCCATTTGTATTGTATTTTCAATAATAATGAATTAATATTTTCACAGACATTTAAAGAAATTTAGGATAAAAAAATTAAGGTCACTTGTGAAATGCAAATAGTATAAAATTTAATGCTAATTTTTATTTTTTAAAAAGGGGGTGGAGTTTGGGGGTTGGGATTCAGATTCTTTATTTCTAAATCAGGACCCTTATTTCAGGCATCACGAACAACAAGCATGATATATACAATTACAAACAGCACAGACAAATTATGTGTTTACTAAATAATCTACAGTACATGTCTTTGTATATATTGAAGTTGAGATAACAATGTATATGTAAGAATACTGGTAATTGAAATAGTACTACTGTGTACCCTAATGCAAAGTGAAGAGCTAGATTCTACAATCCTCGCATTGCAATAGATACCACGTGGAGATGCATAACTCATAAAGTGTTTTGTTTTTGTTTTTTTAACAATTACATACACATATTTACATGTACTTGATATTTAAAGAAATGTTGTAATATGACTTTCTCTCCCTAACATATGCATAATATTCTAAGTGGCTTGTCTAGCCAGTTCACATACAGCAGAAAGCACTTCAATATTTTCCCAGTTTATAGAACCCACGACAACTTTTCCTTGTGACAAAGGGTCAATTCAATTCACGTAAAATTATATATAGTTTCAATTTTTCTATGTAAGATATAAAATATTATATACTAGTAGATGGTAATTAGTGCAATTGTTCATCATCTAAATAGTTGCTGGAACTGAAAACGCCAGGTCACTGAAATATCAACAATAATTTTTTTGTTCTAAATAGTGAATCCTTCGAAATCCACAGCGTATATTTCATAATGCACACATGGCATTCTTTGAATGGGGGTAAAAAGTCGGTCATGTGGAACGGTTGTCGTCCTGAATTCCACATAAATAAGCCTTGTTTGTTTATATCTGTTACACATTATTGGAGAGCTTTTGCGAAATCAACTTATCACTATTCTCTGTGGGGAAAAAATGGATGCCACTACTATTCTGAGTAACGACTTTGGATATGTGGTGTTGGTGATCATCTTTTCTATATTCATGTCCTGGTGGGTAGGATACCAGGTCGTTAAAGCGCGAGAAAAATTTAACGTGCACGTAAGTAGGGACGAGTGTATTCACAGTAACTCAAACGATACAAAATCTATACCATTTTGCCCAGAAAAACTTTATACTTTTGATCTTTCAGTTTTTAACTGGATTAAGGAAATTTTTAAAATGCTTATTGTTATGCAATTGTTCTGAGTAGAATCTTTTTGGTCAGTTCACGGCTAATATCAGTGCTCAAACTAAAGTGTAGATAATAATAATAATAATTAATTAACTGTTTGATTAATAACAAAGTGTTTTTAATTTGAAGTACCCTAAAATGTACGGAGAAGATGATCGTTTTAATTGTTACCAGAGAGCCCATCAAAATACGTAAGTTAAATTATAATCCGACGAATCTTGTTCAAACCAACTTTCATATCTAAAAATTTACTGAAATGTTTGTATAAAATCAATATAAATTCGGTTGAGCATAGAAGAATAAAAAACTACAAATGAAAAAAAGTTAAATCTTTGCTTAAAAAAAAAATCTTTGATTTCATTTCCATAGCTTGAATAATTCTGTAACCATGAATTGATTGTAGCCTCTTTCTTTTATGTGTACAATTGCATCGAGTTTTAGTTAAAATCATTTAAATTAATTAAATTTAAATTAAAGCTGACATGTACTTAAGAACCATGCAATTACAGACCCCTCTTTCTTATTTCAGACTAGAGGTTTATCCAATATATCTGATTCTTCAAGTGATGAGTGGACTGTATGCTCCGGTAGGTAAATATATCATTAAGGGGGACTGACCCACTGATAAGAGATATAACTTTCCAAGTGGAAAATCCTTATATTACTCATAGTTTATTTTTCCATTTTTATAATAAAGACATTTAAGTAGTCAATTCGATCAAACCTGACAATAACTTCTATTTCCTTTTGCCTATACCCCCCCCCCCCCCCAAATAAAACCCTTACAAATTGAATAAATTCTATCTTTTTACAGACCATTTTAAACATGCTTAAATGTATTAAGTACATTTTGTAGATTTTTTATTAGTATTACATTTTTCCTATTGAAAAAATATTTGTAATAAAGATAACTCTTAGTATTGGACGTATTCTTTTCTTACAAGCACATATAACATTGTGATATTCTTAGGAAGCAACGCTTTAATATGTTTCTAGTAGGAATTTAATAGGTATATATGGCACGAAATATTATTATCATTTATCATCATATTTTAATTTTATGTTGTGATAAATTAATAGATTTAAATTATTACTCTTCCGATTCTCCGTTTTAAAAATTATTCATATGATGGTTTGACATATAAATCATTTCTGAAAAAAACAAAACAAAACAAAACAAGCAGTGCTTCAACCTCATACTATTTTTCATTTGAATCTAATGCTATAGCTCTTGATGAAAATCAATGTTGGGAAGTGTAAAAAGAATTGTGACGCAAAAATTTGATGCATGGATTGATATATATTTTTTTCACTGATTTTGAATGGAAATAACATAAATAACAAATCCCTAAAATATAAAGAAATCTTAAGTTTTCTTTGATGCTTAGATAGGCGACTTTGTATCATTCTCTGTGTAATTCTATACAAAATTTTGCACATGTTTTTGGCATTGTGACAAAATCTTACGAAATCCCCCCCCCCCAACTTTATCCAAAAAAATATCATTCAGGTTACTTATTTGAATATTAATCTATAAGAAATATTGCTGATTTCTGAAAAAAAGTTTGTTTTATTTATCCTTAAAGGCAGAGATTTTTTTAACAGAGACAGACAGACGTCCCTTAGTGTCGCTCTGCTCTGCATGCGACACAAAAATAGGGGGTTGCTTTCTCGATCCATCTTAGTGAATAAATGCGGGTTTTATCTTACATATACGTTTTTGCTTGAATTAAGTTAGCTTACCTGTTCCAAAATTACTAGTATTACTGAGATATATGTATTTGTATCCAAAATCTGACATCTATAGCGGCTAAGCCAGCTGCCCGTTCAATAGAGCTAGATAACTACCAGCTAGCTCCTAGGTAGCTTTTAAGATATCTTGAACGCAGCTCAGTTTGTTTATTATTGCACACAAAAGAATGCTATATATATATATATATATATATATATATATATATATATATATATATATATATATATATATATATATATATATATATATATATATATATATATAATTTTTTCAGAAATTGTCTGCTGTCTGTGGATTAATATTTGTCTTGGGTAGAATTGTTTATGCCCTAGGGTACCAGTCTGGAGGTAAGCAGTATTCAATGTTTAACGGATAAGATGGCGCAATGTGAATGTTGACTAGTTGGCATCTGAGCCAAGAGAGAAAAAGGCTTGCTAAATTAAAGTAAGATATGTTTTTGAAACACTGATGTCCCAGTATGGCAGCTCATGGCGAAGGTTAAAGTTTCTCAAATGCAGTCAAAATCCCAGATCAAGGTCAAGAGATAAAAAATATTGCTACCCAAAGAAAGGTATTTTCACAAGGAAATCACCTGTGAAAGAAGAAATCCCCTAGCACCAAACGTTCACAATTAATGGCCAAGTTTAATGTTTTTCAAAAATAGGTCGACCTCCAAGAGCAAGGTCAAAATTTATGGTGCCAAAGGATAGGTCTTGTCACAAGGAATACACTTATGGAATATGAAAGCCCTAACATCAACTGTTCGAAAGGTATGGCCAAGGTAAAAGTCTTTAAAAGAAGGTCAAACTCCACGGGCAAAGTAAAAAAATATTTATACCCAAGGAAAGGTCATCTCACAAGGAATATGCATATGAAGTATGAAAGCACTAGCACCACCCGCTCAAAAGTTATCTCTAAGGTTAAACTTTGAAAAAAATTGCAAAAGTGGATCAAACTGCAAGGCCAAGAGAGGTCAAATATGTTGGTACACAGGTACAGATCTTGTCAAAAGGAATACACCTGTGAAATCTGAAAGCCATAGCTCCAACCAATAAAAAGTTATGGGCAAAGGTTAAAGACAAACAGATAAACAGACCGACAGGCAGACGGACAGAGCAAAAACTATATGACCCCAAATCTTCGATTACGGGAGCATAAAAAAGTTTTAGTTCTGTGAAGTAGTAAAATACCAACAGCAAAACATTTAATTGATGAACGTTCCAGGAACATATAAATGTAGATTGCTCCATATAAACATATGGAATTTTTATACCCCCGTAATGGAAGATTCGGGGGCATATATAGGTTTTGCTTTGTCCGTCCGTTTGTCCGTCTGTCTGCAAAATCTTTAACCTTGCCCATAACTTTTGATTGGTTGGAGCTATGGCTTTCATAGTTCACACGTGTATTACCTGTGAAAGACCTTCCTTTGGGTGCCAACATATTTGACCTCTTGACCTTGACTGACCCACTTATTCAAAATTTTCCACACTTTAACCTCAGCCATAACTTTTGTACGTTTGGTGTTAGGGCTTCACAGTTGTATTCGTTATGACACGACCTTTCCTTGAGTATAAATACTTCACCTTTTAACCTTTACATTGGAGTTTGACCCATTTTAAAAAAACTTTAACCTTGACCATACATTTTGATAAGTTGGAGCTATTTAATATATATTTCATATTTAAGACGAATATTTCTTTTGACAAGACCTTTATTTTGGTATCAACAATTTTGAGTTTTTGACCCTTTGACCTTGATCTTGGAGTTTGACCCATCTCTTGGCCAACCTTGGCCATAACTTTTGAACGGTTGGAGCTTGAGCTTTCATATTTCACAGCTGTATTTCATGTAACAAGACCTTCCATACGGTACCAACAATTTTGACTTTTGACCTTGACCTTTGAGTTTGACCTACTTTAAAAAATTTTAACCATGGCCATATTTTTGAATAAGTATGCTAAGGCTTTCATATTTCATAGGTGTTTTCCCCGTGACAAGTATTTCCTTTGGATATCAACAATATTGGCCTTTGACCTTGACCTAGGAGTTTGACCTACTTTTGAAAAACTTAAACCTTGCTAATTTGTTTTGAACAGTTTTTGCTAAGGCTTTCGTATTTTACATGGGTTTTCCTTGTGACTATAACTTCTCTTGGGTACCAACAATTTTGATCCTTAGACCTTTACCTTGGATTTTGACCTACTTTTGAAAAACTTTAAATTTGGCCAAAAAGTTTGAATGGTTGGTGTTTGGGATTTTATTTTCACAGTTGTATTTCTTGTGACAAGAACTTTTTTTTGAGTACCAACATTTTTGATCTCTTGACCTTGGAGTTTGACTTGCATTTGAGAAACTTTCACCTTCAGCATTAGCTGCCTTACGGGTGCATTTTAGTGTTTCTCAAACATTTCTTGTTTCAGAATGTATATATTAATTCATATCGTCAGGTGTCAGGAAAGGTAGGGGTACGGGGTCTGGGAGAGACACTCCCTCCCCTAAACCAGAAAATGTTTATAAAGGGCATCTTTTTGGTCAGTTCTTGTGCATTCTGAAAGTCATTTTTTACGAAAATTAAGTAAACAAACCCAAGCAGTTTTTCTTTTCACATGTGAATTATAAACGTATTTTTTTCAAATACTCTAGAATTGTAGCGTTATGGTTAAATTATATTTTAGTCTTTGACCATAACACTGGGAATGGACCGGTTTCGTTTACCCAGTGTTTCATTAAATGCTTTTTTTTGAGAGCTTATCTTGTTTCTTATATTTAAATTTTCCTTTTGTTATATATAATTATATATATATATATTATATTTAGATCCAAAGAAGCGTCTTCGTGGATCATTTGCCTACTTTGGAATCCTGGGAATGCTGGTGTGTTCCATCATGTTTGGACTCAACCTCCTTCAAATCGTAAAATGGTGAACAAGCGTTTTTGCTGTTACTCAATCCATTAACATGAGACAATTTAGAACCTTCTTTTTTGATCATCTGAAAGATTTCCGAAGAAATGGGCTTTTCGAGATCCATCAATGTTGCAATCGTTATACCAGTATTTAACAATACAAAGCATGTTATTGTTAAAGTTTCAAGGTATAATATATCATGCAAAGAGCTGGGAATGTAAACTACAGATATGTTACCTGTAGTTAATGAAAATAAAAACTATATGTAATTTGATTTGATTTGACGAATTTGATGACATGAACCACACACACACACACACACCCTCCCTCACACACACACACACACCCTCACACACACACACACACACACACACATATATATCTATATATATATATATATATATATATATATATATATATATATATTAAAAAATGATACTTACTTTGTGGTTATTTTGGTTGACTTTCTGTTGCATCTGGGCAATACAAAATCAGCTAGCCTTTACAATCCGCTAGATCGTTTTCTGACTATTTGGAGCAAAATTAAAATAAGAATGATGCATGTCTGCCAGTACCATGCCATATACACATGTATGCGCGTTTAGGGCAATCAATGAGTGCGTTGATTCTTCAGGTCCTGAGTGCACCTGGGGGTATGGGGGGGGGGCGCCCCTTTTTCTGAGCATGGTCTTTTGTTGTAATTTTGATACACTGTATGTAAATTTGTTTTGGATGCTGCCCCCCTCCCCCACTTTTTGTTGCTATACTGTCAATCATAGGCAAATCCCAGCATGAAAATTAAAAAAAATGTACCGAAAGGTTAGAGAAAGGCCCTTACCAACCCCCACCCCACCCACCCATACACACACACACATACACTTACGAAATTAGGATTTTAGAGTTTGGACAATTTACGTTTTTTTTCCGTTTAGCTTGTCAACTTTTTTTCGAAGGTTGGCCCCACTTTGAAAAACGTTGTACGGGACTGCTCTCTCTCTCTCTCTCTCTCTCTTAAAAGAAAAGGATACGAATATATGTTAAATAAAAATTGCTGACAATTATCAGTTACTTAATCATACACAAGTAGCCTCTCTATTTCTTGATTGTCCAATCAAAAGCTTGTATTGCGTCTATGGAGCGCAAAATTAACATAAACTCATTTAAATGAAGATATCTTTAATTTTGTTTGAAGATATTATCAAGTTCATGTATTACAACATACATAACCTATTGACAATACTTTTCAAGTTATTCTTGATTAAAAATCATAGTATCACCAGATGTTCTTTAACAAAAAATCAGCATTCATTACCAGGTGTTTGAAGATAACAAATGAGAAAAACCCTCGTTATTCAACGGAAAATACTGTGTAAAAAATTACCAATCATTATTTTAGCTGGTATTAAAATTTGTTTCAGAAGAGGTGTACAGCATCATTAGGCATTATAAAAATCGCACACAGGTCCTTAGTTATATTTGACCTCTTCAATTATACAAGGGATGAAGTCCAATTCAAGTTTTAGTTTATCTTTGTGCATTCTAAATGTGGTGGTATAATTAGGATCCATGACATTACCTCTGGCCTGGGCTAGTGGGTTAACCCTTTAGCTCGATCGGTAGAGCACTAGACTGGCATGCAAGATCGAGGTCCAAAGTTCCGAATTCGGAGGCACAAACCTATTATTTCTACTACATTTGGCGCTAACGTTCTATTTGCGGGGGGGGGGGGGGGGCTGATTGCCAAAAGAAAATCACCTCAAAGGCGTTGGCACTCCAAATGAGATGAGGACATCGCTATCTCCAAAAGGGGGAAAATGTGGTATAGTGTAAGATACATAGCATCCTATTGGCCATGGTATCCTACTAGGTGGCAGCCTATTTGTTCGAATCCATTCGTAGGCAACGTTATCTCTGATACATATAGTTTAAGGTCTTTGATAGATTTTGAAGATATGAATTCCATTTCTGTTTTTATTGATCAGTAAAATTAATCTTATCGTAGTTTTTGATTTTGACCAATCAAGTACAAGTTTGACTTCGTCAAACATTAGAAAGTCCGAAATTCTCAAGAATATTTGAAACAATACTAATGTAAGCAATCTGTCGCGTTTTGATTCGTAGTGTTATATAATTTGAACATTAGAATCGTTAAATTTGTTTTCCCGAATTTTGTTTACACCAATAAGAAATGATACACGTTTGTATTTGTATGGGATGACAACCGAGTTCATCACTCAGTACGTCTGGAGTAGATTTTAAAGACGTACACGTATTTAAATTATTTTACAACGATTTTGTTAGATGAATTATAGCATCAATTCTTTTCAATGAGGTAACAATTCAATTACATATACATGTATGTTGTACTGGGAAAGTCTCGTAAGTAAGAACGTCTTTATATGTTTTATACATACTATATAATCATTAATATATTGACCTATTTAAAAATCGTCTTTATAATTACATTGTAAACCGCTCATCTAGAGAAGGGAGTATGCAGGAAACATATCTAAGCTATATTTTTTTAATTTTCTGAAATGTCTTGCAGGGTTGCTTTTTACACAGTGTTGCTGGAAAAGCGAAAGGGAAGTTACTCTCAAACGAAAGCGAAATAAGTCTCAAACGACACTCACTTGTTCGAAAAATATATTTGACAAAATAAAATCCTAGTCTTGAATAATTAATTAATTCAACTCAATTACTCAATAACTTCAATATTCTTGTAAATTTTGCCCAACCCTCACTCCAAACTGATTTCTACAGAGAAAAAATGAAAAATTTAAACTATATGTATATGTTAAGAAATAGCAGGCCCGTAGAACGCGGAGGGGGGGGGGGGCACTTTTTTCTGAGTATAGTATTTTGCTATAGTAAATTTTCTTTTAGATGCAGGTTGCCCCCCCCCCCCTTATTGATGTTGTAAGGTCGAGCACTGACAAATTCCAGGATTTTTTTTGTTGCCTGTCAGATAGTTTTGGGATGTTGCCCCTCCCCCACTTTTGAAACCGTTGCTACGGGCCTGACTAGTGAACCACATTATTCATCGCTTGTAAAGTTCAAGTTTTATTTTTGTTTAAGACCAAGAAGGACATTATTACATGTACATCTTTAAAAATATCGAGAACTTAAGAGCAGGAAGGACATTCCTATATGTGTGCAGTTGCCGGAAGTATATTTTGGGATACATGTACATATAACTTGTGTGCATGATAGAGATAAAGCATAGGACTTGCTATAGCAGTATCCTTTTGGTAACTATATACATGTTTATATTTAAAGATAAAAAAAATGGATTTAATTAGCGACATCTGAATGATTTTTATCGGGGTTTCTTAGTTGAGACACATTTTATGTGTAAAAACTTTATCGCATAACAAAAACTAGGAGTACTCATCTAGCACGCTAACAATGTGTCAAACGGATTTCAGGAAATAGCCCGTTATTTGGGCGCCATATTTACAGAAAGGGATGCAGATTATTAATCATTTAGAAATAAGACAAAGGGGGGTTTCAAATCAGAATAAAGGGAAAGAAAGCCAAGAAAAGGTATGTATCTTCTTAAAGCCGGTATGACACACCAAACTTTTATTTACTGGATATTTAAAATATCTCTGTTATGAAAAATAATTTCATGATTCATATTTTAAAGACCAATATAAGCTCTTAATTATTTTAATTTTTCAAGAGAGGAGAATGCAATAATTGTTTTTCATTTGTTTAAAAAAAAAAAAAACGTCCTCATCATGTTCAGAGCTTCAATTTTTCTGTTAATTAATGCATAATTTTAGGAACCCGTATAAACTAAAGGAAAGGAAAAGATTAATTGTTTTGGGGCACTGAGAAAATTTCAGTATCTAAAGGTGTAAATATTGAGCTTATCTATAACATTTTTATTTAAATTTATGTTATTCTGGATCAAAGGGCAGATTATTCCACCTGCATAAAAGTCCACAGAATCGGAACTCTTTAGTGTTCAGTGTAGAGGGTTCTTAATATCCAATAAACCATGTCGAGAAGAGTCAATGAAACATTTTACTTATTTCAATAAGAAAGTATTTATTGATATGAAAATCAGAATATGTTAATAGTTTTTAAATCTATGGATAAAATCTTTGAAAAACATTTTACATGTATATAAGAAATATACATCCAAATTTTTAAATGAAATTGAAACAGAAGTACAAATTGAATTTTTCAAAAGTCTTTCTCGATATCTCAATCTCAAATTGATCCCGACTGGAATTACATAAAGGGGATTTATTTAACATATATATATATATATATATATATATATATATATATATATATATATATATATATATATATATATATATATATATATTACATTTTCAACAGTGAAATACTGGGATTTATTTACTGAATAAAAGTGATATTCTGACACAGTGTGGAAGGATATCAAAATGGTATTCTCACAGTGTGAGAATATCAGAAGTGCGGCAAATCTTACGATTTTCCTTCCCTTCACGAAGAGTGTTTTAAAAAAAATCCCCGGCCTGTTATAAGATATAGAGTTAATAAGCCATCATGACAGACACTAATAGTTATACTGCAAAAGTTTTTTTTCAAATATGTCGTTAAAAAATCAATTTTTATGGATGACGTCTCAACTATGACGTCACAGCCTATGGCAAGTCGTGAGAAAGGATTTTTTGATATTTTCACTCGTGCTTCGCACTCGTGAAAATCTAAAAAAAATCCTGTCCCACTCGTGAAATAAATTCCATATTCATCTACATAACATTGAATATCATCTCTCTCTCTCTCTCTCTCTCTATATATATATATATATATATATGTGTGTGTGTATGTGTGTGTGTGTGTGCATTGCTTGGTTGTAACATGATTTACATATTAGTTGAACTTATTAAGCAGTTTGATTTCTCCATGGCAACTGCATCAAATTGACGTAATTTGTTGATTTTATTATCATTTTGAGTTTTATCGGGATTGGTTTTATTTCGATCGGGATTGATGCAAAATTTGAAAAAAAAAAGTTTTTTTAAGAGCTCTGAATGTCAAAAGGTTTTTGATAATTTGAAAAAATAGATCTAAGTTAGAAAGGGC